ATGTGGGTCAATAGCACTGTCACACACGCTTTGTTCCGAACTGATTGATGTAAAACATGCCGATTTGAATCCTCAAGACCTAATATCACTGATAAACCAGATGGTGACAATACCTAACCATTTCAACGGTAAATGTTGGTGTGATGTTACAGAGAAGACATTTGTAACCTAACCTAGCTTATTTGTCATGCGATTGTTAAAAAAATTTACCCGTCAAATATACAACAGTTTGTGTTGTCTTTTTGCGTATTTGCTCACTACGTACAGGTTTCGATTAACACGATTGCCTGGAGTTGCGGAAACCCTAAACCCAGTATATTGGTTCCATTTTGATCCCGGAGTACTACCTGGATATAACGTCAACTTCATGTAATATACTGTAAGAGCAAGAATGACAGTCAAGTTATTTCGAACTGTGTTGAATGGAGCCAAAGTCCCCCTCCTTATTATAGCACGAATCCTTCAGTGTAGGGTCAAAATACAGCTCACTGGTTCCGATGTCCTTGTTAGACAAGGCTTTCTGAGGTCCGAGTGCGCAAAACTGGCTTTATGTGATTTCCATCATTCGTCACTATTACTAGTTTCTATATCAGTGTCATGCTAGTATCTACCCGGAAGACAATTCTGGAGCCAAGACTGTTATTTCAGGTGCAGTTTCCCACCCTCACTCAAAAGTACCACAGAGTCAAATGAAGGAAGTTCTTAATCGAATTGGTGAACGTCAGCCACCGAATGACCGCCTGTTGGCTGTCAACGGGACAGTAATTCCATCGACAAATGTGAGTACATGTAAACAGGTGAGCAGATAAAATTTCATCATGGTTTGCATAAAAAATCAAACATAATCGTTGAGTCACGAGCGGCATTTCTTTCCTTAGTAAAGTGACAATCACATTCGTTCCGTATTTGAGTTTTCTCCCTTCTTTCCGGCGATTTTGTAAAGAACCCACCAGTCATTTGTTTGAGGTGCGTTATTTGAGCGAACAAAAATACCGAGCAGAAAAAAGAAGTGAAAAAAACATATGAATTAATAGAACACTGTATCGAAAAGCTGATAAATTCAGAGCAAGCAATTCAGAGCTCAAATCGCAGGTTCCGGTTGGTATGCATTTTCTCAGACAGGAATAAAAGTGGATTAGCGCGCGATCAGAATGGGCTCATAAACGTCAAATTCTCATCATCATCATCATCACACATTCAGCTGTAGGAACCGCGTACTTGTCATTCAGTGCTGGCAGCTGCCGCATATCCGTCAACCGATACTTTTGGGAGATGAGATGACTGATGTAAGAGCTCGTAAGTACAGGACTGTCTGTGGACTTCCAAATGAAAAGACTGGGTAAG